AACTGATCTTCAAAAACCATGCAAAAACATAGAGTGAAGAGAAGATATCCTATCCATCAAATCATGCTGTGATGATTAGCAATGCACATGTAAAATAAAACTGGATCCTTATCTCTCACCTTATTCAAAAATCAATTCAAGATAAATCAAAGACTTAAATTTAAGACCTGAAACCATAAAAATATCTAGAAGATAATAGCTAGAAATGTTTTCTACAGATTGGTTTAAGCAGAGTTCATGACCAAGAGATAGTCTTTTTCTAGAAAAGTATTGGTTTGTTTGGAGGTGTCATGTTTCCACACTTTTTTTGTTTCTTGTGTGCTTATGTTGCTTCACAGGGTGCAAGCCCCAAGTCTTGGCAGCTTCCATGTGGTGATGAGCCTGTGGGTACTCAGAAGACAAGAATTGAGTTCTGGGAACCTCCACCTAGATTTCAGAGAATGTATGGAAATGCCTGGATGCACAGGAAGAAGTTTGCTGCAGAGGTGGGGCCCTCACGGAGAACCTCTACTAGGGCAGTGCAGGAGAGAATTGTGGGGTTAGAGTCCCCACACAGAGTCCCTACTTGAGCACTGCCTAGTGGAGCTGTGAGAAGAGGCCTGTAGCCCCTTGCAAGTCTGAAATACTGTGAGGGAGTAAAATGCACCCTTCATTATGGCCAATTTCTCCCATTCAGAATGGCTGTATTTATTTAGTGCCTTTACACTCATTTATCTAGGAAGTAACTAACTTGCTTTTGATTTTACTGCCTCATATGGAGAATAGATTTGCCTGGCCTTAGATGAGACTTTGGAGTGTAGACTTTTGAGTTAATTCTGAAATGAGTTAAGACTTTGGGAGACTTTTGGGAAAACATGACTGGTTTTGAAATGTGAGGACGTGAGATGTGGGAGGGCCAAGGATGGAATGATACAGTTTCCGCTTATAAAACCATCAGATTTTGTGAGACTTACTCACCAGCATGAGAACAGTATTGGGAAAACTGCCTTCCTGATTAAGTTATCTCCCACCAGGTCTCTCCCACAACACATGGGAATTATGGGAGCTACAATTGGAAGTGATATTTGGGTGGGGACACAGCCAAACCATATCAGAATGAGACTGCCCAACTCTCCCTATAAAATACCAAGTGAAGCACCCCAGATGAAGCAATTAATATGCTTCACATGCAAGCCATATTGGGCTGGTTTTATGATAACTGGAGTATACTCCTAGAAAATATGCCTATTACCCAGGTCATGGTAAATTTTGGGGTTAAGGGATCCCCTTTTACATTGGTGCCCCTCCCACAGAATCACAGGACTGTTTAAGAAGGCTTATCATATTTGCTGTCCCTCATAGGTCTTACAGATGCAACTCCCTGCTGGGAACCCAAACCCTTTTTCACCAGAAAAGGTGAAATGGGCCTGGCACTGTGACTCACACCTGTAATCTCAGCACTTTGGGAGGCTGAGGTGGGTGAATCACTTGAGGTCAGTAGTTCAATACCAGCCTGACCAAAATGGTGAAACCTTGTCTTCACTGCAAGTACAAAAATTAGCTGGGCATGATGGTGGACACCTGTAATCCCAGGTACTTGGGAGGCTGAGGCAGGAGCATCACTTGAACCCAGGAGGCAGAGGTTGCAGTGAGCCTAGATCATGCCACTGCACTCCAGCCTAGGCGACAAGAGCGAGACTCCATCTCAAAAGAAAAAAAAAAGAAAGAAAGAGAAGGTAAAATGATCTGGGGCTAAGAACAAAAACAAGACAAAACAGACAAACAAATGAAAACATGCAGGTTAAAAGAATTATAAAATTTAAAATGTTTAAACAAACTTTGCAGAAAGTAGCTGTAAGCCCTTTACCTAAATGTCTTATGAAAATGGGTGCTACATTTGACTGGGGAATGTTTCCCCTTTCTGGTATTATAAAACTGAAGGCATGTAAGTCTGCTCTTTTGGTAAATGTTAATTGAACACAGTAAATGGGCACTAGTAGAATTGCCTGAGCAAACCAAGTATTGGGTGTAGTGGTAGTCAGGACACATCTTCCACTTCATAGGTATTTGTGGCACATTTATTGGGGCTCATTGCAAAAAATTGCAAATAATTCCCAATGACAATAACTGAACTGAGAATTTCCACCTGAGAGACATTTACTGCCTTGCTGTGGAATTTTAACTGAAGCTATCCCTATGCTAACAAAAATGATGGTGCCCAAAAGAGTTCCATTAAAAAAAAATGATTTGCATAGAATCTTGCTACCTGGGGATACTAGGAGAAAATACTAATAAGTAGGGAGCCTCTTTCCTAGATTCTACCATGCCTGATAGACAGTTTTCACGAGCTGTTGGCTTGTAAATGGCATTTCCCAAATAAACAAACATGATGTTTTAAAGCTACTGCTCTGGTTAAAGCATGGCCAATAAAATCTTTTTCGTTTGAGTTATTTAGGTGAAGTACATTTTTGTAAGGAAATTTACCTTTCTCTTTGAGTTCTAAAATTTGTGTTGTGATTTTATGACAAAATATTTATTTGCATAAATTCAAAAAATGTCTTTTAAAACAAAAGAATTTGAGACACTAGTTATTTTACCAAGACTTTAACTAAAATAGCATATTTTTAGGTAAATTTCTGGCAAGGTGAGCTTCAAGAAGTCTATATGGCTAACCAATTCTTGCTGTATTATTTATTTATTTATTTGGAGATAAAGTCTCGCTCTGTCACCCAGGCTGGACTGCAGTGGTACAGTCTTGGCTCACTGCAACCTCCACCTCTTGGGTTCAAGTGATTCTGCTGCCTTAGCCACCCAAGTAGCTGGGACTATAGGTGTGTGCCACCACACCATAAGTTTTCTTAGATAAACTTATTATTTTCAGAAGTCTCCATAATTTGGCTACTGTAATTTTGTTAGTGGCTTTTAAAAATTATGAGAAGACATTTATGGTAACTTTCTATATTAGAAAATCATCAAAGAAGCATGAGAGAAAACAGTTCTTTTAGGATGCAATTTCTACTGAAGCTACTTTTAATTTGAATCTACAGTGCTCCCAAGGTAAATACCTCTACTCAAACACAACTATAAAATTTTAACAAGAATAGACACTTACCAGTCAGAGGATTTAATTATATTATCAACTCTCTTACCGTTAGTGTATTTTTCAGGAGATAAACCCAGCCAATATCTGCATAATCTATTTTGGGATTTTACAAATTCATACAGGAAATTCAGATGGTCTGTTTAAGAAACAGTTTCTTACTTTTGTATTTTACATTATAATGTAATGTCTTACAAATTGCTCTTTTAAAGTAACATACTTGACATTGCACTACTACTAAATGCCATTAAAAGAAACTGAAAGAAAGTACTCCTTACTTTAAAATTTCAACATTTTAAAAAATAATATCATTGCTGTTCTCACAAGAAGAGAGACCCTACTAATCCATGTATAACCTTAATTTACAGTCATTGAAAAGTTCACAATGACAAGTTCAGGATTCAAAAATTTGAGCTGTAAACATTGTGTCCAGGGGCAAGGGAGGTGGCTAATGGCTACCAACAAGAGTTAATGGAAACAGAAAGGGTAGGAAAAAATGCCACACACTCAGATGTGAGTGGTTATAAAACAGAATTCAGAACCAGTCCAGACTTTTGTAGCCAAATACCAGGTATTTTTTCTTATTCCACACTTAAAAAAGACTTTTTTAAGAGTAACTGTGAATGGGTCACTTGAGAATAATCTGATGAGGAAGAGATTTTGGATTGATTTCTCTCCCTTCTAAAGTATAATGAAAGTTTCTTATTATGGGGAAGCAGAGAGTTTTAGAAAATGTAATTTTGATTAAAAATATATGATTATTTGAGAGACCAAAAATGCTGTGTAAAATAAGGGTAACATGGAAACACTATTTAGACAAGAAAAATTAAGAAAATGAATAAATCAATAAAGCCACTAGAAAACATATTTTTCCTGTGACTCAAGGACTCAGTGCAATATATCTGTTTGACACTTGCCTGTGCCACCTTACTTCAGCTCTTCTTGTTTACACATATTTTATGCCAGCCTACTATATCTTGCCTATTTCCCTTAGTGAATTACGACACACAAAATGGTAGAAACAAAACAAATCCTCCTGTGTAGGTTTTATGGAATTAGTAACCCTCAGGAATAATCTCTGTAACCTGTTTTTAATGTTTATAAATTACGTTCTGAGATTTGATTCCAGATTCTAATTTGGAAATACATACAGACCTATAAATTCTGGGTGCCCTGTATCTACTCATCTACCTGTCAGCTAGTAATATTCCTCTTATGCTAAGGTCCTAAGCTAAGGTTTTATATGTTTTACCTTGCCTATGATATCTTGAGATAAATGTACAAAATTTCAGTCACTTCCCACCCCAACTAAAATAAACCAGAATCATGAGTTGGTTGATTGAGGTCTTCTCTAACATGACACATCCCTCTCTATCCCATCAGGTCCTCTCTAACATGACACACTTTTCTCTATCCCATCAGGTCCTCTCTAACATGACACACCCCTCTGTATCCCATCAGGTCCTCTCTAACATGACGCAACCCTCTCTATCCCATCAGGTCCTCTCTAACATGACACACCCCTCTCTATCCTATGAGGTCCTCTTTAACATGACACACCCCTCTGTATCCCATCAGGTCCTCTCTAACATGACGCACTTTTCTCTATCCCATCAGGTCCTCTCTAACATGACACACCCCTCTGTATCCCATCAGGTCCTCTCTAACATGACACACCCCTCTCTATCCCATCAGGTCCTCTCTAACATGACGCACCCCTCTCTATCCCATCAGGTCCTCTCTAATATGACGCACCCCTCTCTATCCCATCAGGTCCTAACATGACACACCCCTCTATATCCCATCAGGTCCTCTCTAACATGACGCACCCCCTCTATCCCATGAGGTCTTCTCTAACATGACACACCCCTCTCTATCCCATGAAGGTAGAAACACCTGGGCTTTACCAATGCACTTTTACTGTTAATCTTCAACAGGCTGCTATTCTGAGCAGCACAGGCCATTTGACTCTCCTGCCATGTTTGGGAATCATCACTTAGGAAATAGCAGCTGTCCTCATGCCACATCCATCTCTTTGGACAAGGCTTACATTTGTGCTCTGAAAGAAGAACATAGTTTTATTTGGGTTTTATTAATAGTCTTAATAATTCGTATTATTTCCTTTCCTCTCTATGTGACATTCTCCACATTTGCTGTTTATTATTCTTTCGTTCTTTTTTTTTTGAGACTGAGTCTTGCTCTATTCCCCAAGCTGGAGTATAGCGGTGCGATCTCAGCTCACTGCAGCCTCGTCTCCTGGATTCAAGTGACTCTCCCCTTGGCCACCCAAGTAGCTGGGATTATATGCTGTTTCTTCTTTTTACATCAAAGGGGAAGTAAGTGAATCCTGTATTCTGGTTCCCTATATACCATCATAATGTGTCAGACACATAACTTGAACAAAAAAATTCAAATTAAGCACTGGGATTCAAGTTTATCTTCCTACATCAATCCCTCTTTGCTATTTTTTGTATTCTTTAATGACAATAACACAAATTACCGGAAATATCCTGTATATTAAGAATTAACCCCACCTATCTATACAAATCTTACCTTCTTTAATTTCTGTTCTCTGACTTGGTGAAACTTTGAGATTTCTCAGGAGCAAAAGAAATACATTTTAGCAACCATGACTATAGAAATTTCTGGAGATATTATAAGACCAACTTCCCCTGATCACGAAGGTGACATCTCAATTTATTTTTTTCTTATGGACTTTGTTATCAATCACTGACTGAAATTTAAGAATGACGTCACCTATAAAGAGGTACCACTTCCTCCCTGTCTTTTATTAACCTCATTGCCCAGAATAATTATAGTGACAGATAAGAGAAACTGCCCTAACATTTTATCATGTAACTTATCTCCTGATAATTTGGGGACCTATTGTTATTGTTACTTTTTCTGTCTTTCTTCTAACTGCAAGGAAATGAATTCTCCATCAACCATATGTAATTCCTTCCCTCAAATTATGACTCCCTAGGAAAAGTCTGCTAGCTAATTATAAAATGATTCTTAAGAGACCCAGTAGTTTAGTTTACTGTCCAATAAATAACTCCAAGAGAATACAGGATTACCTTTTTTTTCTCTATGTAGCTTACGACATAATTTGGTGACTGTTGTTTGCAGTGTGGTGGAGAGGTTCCTGAGTAACATGATCGAAACTATACATGTTTCTCATCAGGTGTAGAGAAACATTTCTCTGAAGCTCTTCATTGATATTTTGTAGTTCATTCACTTTTTCCATTTCTATCTTCAAAGTTATGTAAACTTCACTTTTAAAAATGACAAAAAAAATTGTAAACTCTCAGTACAGCCATCATCCTTTATCATTTGCAGAACTAATATAAAGATTAAAGGGTAGGGAAAGCCATTACTCTGCAGGAGTGAGGGAAAGACACTGCGTTCCACATTGTAAGTCCCCCTTGTGGGAGTATCACCTATCATTATTACAAATCTTCCACTCAAGGAATAAACTTTTGTTGTTAAATATTTGAAATTCTAGGTACTTTCTCTTTTAACTGAAACAGGGCTAGTACATGCACATGCTTCCCAAGACTCCCAATCCAATGAGTAGGAGAAGGCACAGAAGAGTCAGAAACAAGGTTGCTGGACGCCATACACGAGAGGGAGCGGGAGGTGCTGTGGAAAGCAAAATTAACAGGGAGGTCTAAACCTGGTGCACACTTTCATTTGAATTATTTGCTCATTCATTCATTCATTCATTTTACTTTTAAATCCTAATATGCCTATTGGAAATGAATGGATTTGTTAGACATTCAAGGGTACTTTAAAAATATTTTAAAGAATATGTCAAGAATAAGTCAAAAATCACTGATTTGTATGTAAATTGATTCTGGCATGAGAAGCTGTTAACTGGTAGACATTCAAAAAACAGAGAAGCAAAAACAGAATTTATAATAGAGAATGGAGAACACCAATCAATCTAGATATAGTATACTTTGTTTGTACAAATTTGGGAAAAGTGAGTAACTGGAAATTAACAGAGAAGCCAATATGAGTAGTTGTTGCTTGAGTAGACAATTGTGGCATGTCAGGAAAAACAATTTCAGTTATTCGTGTATCCTTCCAGTAATTCTGAGAGTTTAGCTGCAGAATAAACAAGATAGGCTGTCTCTTTGTAATGTCTTTGGGTGTCCACCTAGTAGCCTTTGGTCTTAGTCCAGATGTACACCATTTTTTATTGTAATTTTTCAAATTTTTTTCATGTTTTTTTTCCACAGGAAACTTTTATTGAATACTTCCTTTTTAGTGACTAGGGAAGTAAAAAATAGATCATTTCTCTATTTAAAAAACCGGGAATTATAAACTTTATATTTTGAACGAATTATTATTGTGACTATGTTATTTAAATCAACATTATGTATACAGGTAAAGACTAGCTAGGCAGAAGTTTGCTGCAGACACTAAATGATTTAATATTTGTAATGCAATTAGAACAGAACTGGCACAGGACAAACACCTGGAAATTGTATTTAAATATATACTTGAATGTATATTTAATGACATGAGAATGTCTGGGGAGAGGGGCCATTTTAGAAGAAAAATAAATATTACTATTTTTGCCATTTTAAATTTATAATGAGATTAGAACTCCTTATGGAAATGTGAAAGAGGCGCTTTATTTTCTAGTCTTGAGATCCAGGAAAACGTCATACAGAGATATTTGGGAGTCACTCTATTTAAAGTCAAACAATGAGGTAGCTTAGAAGAGTTATTGAGTGATGCAGTAAAAGTGGACCCAGAACGAGCTTCAGAGTATTCTATCTTCTAGAGTTTGATGTAGAAGGAAGACTCAACAAAGGCTGAGGAGGGGCAGGCATGGTGACAGGAGGATGTGTCCAGAAAGATGTTTAACTTTTTCATTTAGAAAACTGTTTAACTTTTGAATGCTGCAAGGAAGTGAAGTAGTGGAAGAAACATGTAACCTTTGGGATGAAACAGGCAGGCCATCAGTGACCTAAAGCTTAGTCTTCATGGAACCAAGGGGTCAGAAGCCAAATAGAGTTGGCTGAGAACAGAATGGGAAGTGAAGAACTGAGAGTCAGTGGCCAAAGATAATGCTTTCAAAAGTTGAGCTGCAAAAGGAAACAAAGAAGCTAAATAATAATGGAAAGGTTTAAGTGGTCAAACAAGGATTGTGTTTTGTTATAATAGCAGTTGTAGAGTATGTTGGTGCACTTAAAAAGAGAAAACAAAGAAGGAAGAGATAATAATGACACAGGAGAGAAAAGAAAAAATTATAGAAATCTGTCTTTGAAAAGAACGCATGAACTGAAAATCAGAACAAAATGAAGAGCTGTCCTTTCATAAGTAGATACTTATCATAAATACTATCTGGAAGGAAGGCATGGTAGGATAGAAATTTTAATAACAGAAATAAAAAGTGTGGGATGATGCTTTTTTCCCCACTAGAGGAAAGGAGAGAGTAACTGGGGTAGAAAATGTGTGTATTTTTCACCAGCAATATTCAACTCCAGGGCAGACTGGGTGGATATTTGTGTTTGACCAGAACTGGAGTTGTTTTTATTTATTTGTTTGGTTTTTTGTTTCATTTTGTTTTGATTTGAGACAGGATCTTGCTGTATTACCCAGACTGGAATATAGTGGCCTGATCATAGCTTACTGCAGCCTCCAACACCTGGGCTCAAGTACTCCTCTTTCCTTAGCTTCCCAAGCAGCTAAGACTATGAGTGCCCAGTTAATTTTTAAAAAATTTTTTGGAAATAGGCACAGGCAAGGACTTCATGACTAAAACACCAAAAGCATTGGCAACAAAAGCCAAAATAGACAAATGTGATCTATTTAAACTCCAGAGCTTCTGTACAGTAAAAGAAACAATCATTAGAGTGAACCAGCAGCCAACAGAATGGGAAAAAAATTTTGCAATCTGCCCAACTGACAAAGGACTAATATCCAGAATCTACAAAGAACTAAAACAGATTTACAAAAAAAAAAAAAAAAAAAAAAAAAACAAAGCAACCCATTCAAAAGTGGGCAAAGGATATGAACGACACTTTTCAAAAGCAGACATACGTGAGGCCAACAAACATATGAAAAAATGCTCATCATCACTGGTTATTAGAGAAAGGTGAATCAAAACCACATTGAGATACCATCTCACGCCAGTTAGAATGGCGATCATTAAAAAATCTGGAGGCAACAGATGCTGGAGAGGATATGGAGAATTAAGAACAATTTTACAGTGTTGGTGAGAGTGTAAATTAGTTCAACCATTGTGGAAGACAGTGTGGTGATTCCTCAAGGACCTAGAAATAGACATACCATTTGACCTAGCAATCCCATTACTGTTTATATATCCAAAGGATTATAAACCATTTTATTATAAAGACACAGATTCATTGCAGCACTTTTTACAATATCAAAGACCTGGAACCAACCCAAATGCCCACTGATGATAGACTGGACAAGGAAAATGTGGCACATATACACCACGGAATACTATGCTGCCATAAAAAATGATGAGTTCAAGGATCCCAAGATGGTCAAATAAGAGGCAGCTCCGGAAAGCAGCTCCCAGTGAGAGAGACTCAGAAGCTGAGTGAGTGGTCTCAACAATTCCAAACGAAGTGCCAGGTTCATTCTGTGGGTCTGGTTGGACAGTGGGCATAAACCAGATAGGGTAAGTCAAGGTAATGTGGGGCACTGCCCCACCCAGAAGGAGCATGCAACCAACTGGAGGACAAGGGATCTCCCACTGTGGGACTTTGGTTCGGATAGAGCCCTCCACCCAACCCCTCTACAACCCACAGAACAGGAGATCTTCACTGGGATGAAAAGCCTTAGTGAGCTGCCTGAACAGGGCAGAACAGCAACTTCGGCCACTGCTGGGCCTCTCAGCATAGATCTAGGCGGAAGCACTGGCTGACACTGAGAAAGCCAAAAAGCCAGTGGCACAGAGCTGCCTGCCCCCCAGTAAGAAGGGGAATGGAATGCAGGAAAACAGCCCAAATGGTGGGATGGGTCCCCCGCCACACAAAGCCCAGGAGGCCAAAAAACTCTCCAGTGTTAGGCACCCAGAACGTCAGCTAGAGAGCCACCAGGAACAACCCAGCTCAGTGGGTGGAAGGGAAGCTGCCTTTGCAGAAGCCAGCCTAATTTTCCTGAGTGAATAACAGACATAGCATCTCCACTCAATCTGTGGCAGCCCAGCAGTGCCTCTGCAGGCAGACAAAGGAAAGGCTGCCTCCTCAAGCAGCTACCAGAGATCAAAACTATATATCCAAGGGATAGGGAGAAACAAGCGCAAGAAGAATGAAACCATCAAAGACCAGAACGTCTCTCCCCCACCACAAGATCATGACTCTTCACCAGCAGGTGAACAAAGCAGGATGGAGAACAAATTTGATAAATTGACAGAAGCAGGCTTCAGAACGTGGGTAATAACAAACATCTCTGAGTTAAAGGAACATGTTCTACCCCAATGCAAAGAAACTAAAAACTTTGAAAAAAGTTAGATGAAATGCTAACTAGAATAACCAGCTTAGAGAAGCACATAACTGACTTAATGGAGCTGAAAAACACACCACAAGAACTTCATTAAGCATACACAAGTTTCAATAGCCAAATAGATCAAGCAAAAGAAAGGATACCAGATATTGAAGATCAATTCAATGAAATAAAAGAAGAAGGCAAGAAAAGAGGACAAAGAGAAAAGAAATGAACAAAGCCTTCAAGAAATATGGGATTACATGAAAAGACCTAATCTATGCCTGATTGGTGTACCCTAAGATGACGTGAAGAATGAATCCAAGCTGGAAAACACTCTTCAGGATATTATCCAGGAGAACTTCCCCAACCTAGCAAGGCAGGCCAACATTCAAATATAGGAAATACAGAGAACACCACAATGATACTCCTCTAGAAGAGCAACCCCAAGGCACATAATCATCAGGTTCACCAGGGTTGAAATGAAGAAAAAAATATTAAAGGCAGCCAGAGAGAAAAGTTGGGTTACCCACAAAGGGAAGAACATCAGACTCACAGCGTATCTCTAGGCAGAAACCCCACAAGCCAGAAGAGAGTGGGGGCCAATATTCAACATCCTTAAAGAAAAGAACTTTCAACCCAGAATTACATA